CACATCAAAGGCGCGTGGGCAGGAGGGGCTGGGGCCGCTTTGATCTCACGCCTATCAGCAGGCGCTCCTGCTCCGCCTTCTGTCTGAGCCGGGACTGAGGGAGGTGAGAGCCCCTTTGGTCTAATCCCAGCCACTCGGGGAGATGAAAGGTGCCGGTACCGCTGGGAACGCGCCTGCAGTGTGTCCATCAGCCCGTGATCACTGCAAATCCAGGTCCTCCCGGGCCGGGCGGGGCGGCAACATGCAAACAGGCCGCTCTCCACAGCGCGGCTGGAGCGCCCCGAGGGGAACCCCCCTCCCCCGTCCACGTGTTCCCAACACGCTTCACCGGAGGCGGCAGAAGTGAGGGTTCCAGGTCTCAGCCTCGGTCCCCACGACGGTTCCCCGCTGAGGAGGACGTGTGTGTGTGTGTGCATATGTGAACACGTGTGCATGTGCATGTGTGTGCGTGTGAAGCTATACAGTGAGGACGAGCGGGGCTTTGGGGAGCTGCAGTTAGGATTCGGCCGCTCTCGTCCCCCCGTGTTTTCTCCCGGGCGGTGTGTGTTCCTGCCGCTGGGCGTGAGGCGAGCAGCACCTGGTGGGACTCGGTGCAGGTGCGGCTGAGCTAACCGCGCGGCCACGCCGACCTCTGCGTGTGTGAGGGGGGCGGGGTGTGTGTCCCCAGATGTGGGGGGGGTGGTGAGGTTTGTGTGAAGAAACAACCGCAGAGACGGAACATTTGCTGTTGCTTTTCCCAGGGCAGCCTGTGTGTGCTGTGCATATACTAGCATGTTTGTGTGCCTGTGCATGTCTGCGTATCTGCGTGTGTTCACACGTGTTTCTGAGTTTGTGTGTGTGTGCATATGTGAACACGTGTGCATGTGCATGTGTGTGCGTGTGAAGCTATACAGTGAGGACGAGCGGGGCTTTGGGGAGCTGCAGTTAGGATTCGGCCGCTCTCGTCCCCCCGTGTTTTCTCCCGGGCGGTGGGTGTTCCTGCCGCTGGGCGTGAGGTGAGCAGCACCTGGTGGGACTCGGTGTGTATGGGGGGCGGGGTGTGTGTCCCCAGATGTGTGTGGGGGGGTGGGATTTGTGTGAAGAAACAACCACAGAGACAGAACATTTGCTGTTGCTTTTCCCAGGGCAGCCTGTGTGTGCTGTGCATATACTAGCATGTTTGTGTGCCTGTGTATGTCTGCGTGTCTGCGCGTGTGTTCACACGTGTTTCTGAGTTTGTGTATGCCTGTGCATGTGTGTCTCTGTGTTTGTATATGTGTGTGCGTGTGTGTGCCTGTGTGTGTTTGTATATGTCTCTCTGTGTGTGTGTCTGTGTTGGTCTCTGTGTTTGTGCGTGTCTGTGTATGTGTGTCTGTGAGTTTGTGTATGTGTGTGCGTGTGTGTGTGTCTGTGTACGTGGTCGTGGGGATGATGCACTTTTATCCCTTGTGTCCGGCTCAGGGCAGGACTGTGGCCTCGGCTCTGCAACCCTCGCTGCTCAGCCCGTCGCCCGGGGCCCCGCGACTGAGGCGTGAACACGTGTCCTCGTGGGGAGTAAAGTGGGAAAAGCAGGAGGAGGTGGCTCTCCAATGAAAATACCGGTGGAGCCAGTTGCTTCCCTCCAGGCAAACGCCGTGAGCCGGCGGGAGGAGCTCCGTGCGCCCAGGGCTCCCCCTCTGACCGACGCTCTCGCCTTCACGGCCTGGCGCCCACGGGCCAGGGGCCAGCAAGGCCACTTTCACCTCCCGCGACGGAAGGACCACTGACAGCCAATAGCTGTGCTCACACTGGCTGTACTTTTAAAAAATACATTAAAAATATATAATAATGTAATAAAATAAAATGTATTTAAAATAAAGATAGGTGTAACCCTGGCTCATAGGTTGATGCTCCACCACGGAGCCTCGCGGGCGGGCCTGGCTTTCCTTTGCTACTTTACCTTCCCCGACGACAGTCAGGACAGGACCAGCCGAGGGAGGAGACGGGGACGCGAAGGCGCACGGGCGACCGTCTCACACATCCCTCGGGACACGCCACCTGGCCGGGGACACCAGCCTTTCGCCAAATGCCGCATTTTCATCCCGGCGGGAAATGCTGGGTGATGAGCGTTGCATCATCATGACTTTCTTCATTAAATACTTTGTTGTCGACAGCGTTTTGATGGGTCACATGATCTCTCTGCGCGGATGTGTCACGGCCACTCCAGGCCCTGCCCGTGCACCTTTTGGGTTAATAACTGTGGTTATCGTGCCTGTACCTTCTAAACGTTTGTGCGCAAATCTCCCCTCATGGGTTCACCGAGCACATTTTGGGTGTTTTAGAAATTCCTGGTACCGACTGACAGACGATGTTCAGAGAAAGACGTCAGTACCTGCCTCCGGTAGATGCGACCGGCCTGCCCACCTGGCACAAGAGCAGGTTCGTTCATTAACACTTAACTAAAGGCGACGTGTTACTTTGCATCAATTAGTATAGATTTACCCACAAATCCTAAACGCAGGAATGGAATGGTCACGTTTGCATATTAAAGGAACCACTTTATCCTCAGGATCGTGAATGAATTAGAAAGAGACAAGGCTACAGACAAAGAAATAATTTCCACAGCCGCTCCCATCATTCAGTCATGGCGTTGAATGAATTTCAGATTTTAGTGGAATAAAATGGTCCCAAAACCCTTGTAATGCCCGGCCAGTGTGGCTCAGGGGTGGAGCATCAACCTATGAACCAGGAGGTCACAGGTTTGATTCCCGGTCAGGGCACAGTTGTGGGCTCGATCCCCAGTGTGGGGCGTGCAGGAGGCGGCCAATCCATGATTCTCTCTCATCATGGATGTTTCTCTCTCTCTCCCTCTCCCTTCCTCTCTGAAATCAATAAAAACATATTTTTAAAAATCTCTGTAATGAGAGTCAGATCACTGAGAATGTCTTCAGTCCCCGCGTGGGAGCCACGCAGACCCCGAGTCCTGACGTGGTTGCTCGGGGCTGAGTGTGGCGTCAGCTCACCTCCGGGGGCTCAGGTGGCGGTTCCAGCGAAGGCAAGACGGCGGCTGAGCTGTGCTTGTCAGGGGGAGACGGGCAGAGGGGACCTCCCCACAGCGAGGCCCAAGCCCCTCCCTCCTGGGCCGACAGATGATCGCAGTGTCTGGGCACGCGGCCGCCCCGGGACGTGCTTTCCTGTGTGTCTGCCTCCCGTCAGAGCTGGGGCGTCTCCCTCCAGAAGAGGCGAAAACCACAAGAAACAATGAGGACTTTGGGGAAGTTTTGACATTCCCCGTTCCCTTAAGTTTTGGAGGTGACAAACGAGGCCCCAGGCTGGCCAGCTGGGGAGTCACGAGGGGCGACTGCTCTTCAACGCCAAGCTCCGCCTCACGGGCACGCTGCCTGGGCAAGTCCCTCCTGCTTTTTCTTTAAAAGAAATAAATATTTTGCCCTAACCAGTTTGGCTCAGTGGATAGAGCGTCGACCTGTGGACTGAAGGGTCCCAGGTTCGATTCTGGTCAAGGGCATGTACCTTGGTTGCAGGCACATCCCCAGTAGGGGGTGTGCAGGAGGCGGCCAATCCATGTTCCTCTCTCGTCATTGAGGTTTCTCTCTCTCTCCCTCACGGGCACGCTGCCTGGGCAAGTCCCTCCTGCTTTTTCTTTAAAAGAAATAAATATTTTTAAAAATTGATTGCAGAGAGGAAAGGAGAGGGAGAGAGAGAGAAACATCAATGACGAGAGAGGAACATGGATTGGCCGCCTCCTGCACACCCCACACTGGGGATGGAGCCCACAACCTGGGCCTGTGCCCTGTCCGGGAATCAAACCCTGACCTCCTGGTTCTTAGGTGGACGCTCAGCCACGGAGCCGCGCGGCCGGGCTCAGCAAATTCCCTGGACAATCTCACCGTCAGGGTGGATGGTGTGTGCCCTGAGCCTTCGGGGTTATTGCTGAGAGCATTGGCTTTGTGTCACTTGGCACTTTTTGACTCTCCGTGTGCTCTTGTCTTTAAAAACGTCCTCTTTTGGTAAATTATCTGTCCCTGTCACTTGTCCATTTTTCCAGCTGCGTTTTTGTTGTTTGCTTCGAGGAGCTATTTATTTAAAGTATTTTTTTTCTCTCTGAATACATCGCAGATATTCCCCCAGGATTCCTTATGCTCATGTTGTTTCTATTAAAATGTAAAAATTTTGCTTTTACTTTTTATTCATGTGTCTTTTCCTTTCCCTCTGTGCCTTCCCCAACGATCTCACGCTGAGCAATTCTGTCCGCTTTCCGACGTGAATGTGTTAACGACACCTCAGCAGATGGCTTGGATTTGGGTGGAAAGAAGCTGAAAAAATGTTAAAGAGAATGACATCAGTGAGGAATCTTACAGCCCCGTGTTGCTGATTCAATGGCTCAGCATCTGTAAGGCCTACATTTACGATCACATGGAAGTCGCACGCGGAACGCGGCGGCGAGGGTGCTGGGGCGGGGCGTTGAGGCGCTCCCGGGCACAGCTCACACCGGCACGTGCAGCCTCCAGTTGCTCTATGTGGTCACTTAGACGGGAGCCTCGGCGACAGCCGCCCAGCCTGGCCTTCTGAGGTTTATCAACGCTGTGCAGCCGCTGCGTCTCCAAAGAAAAGGCCAAGAAGGAATAACGAGGTTGCGTGGAACCCCGAGAACGAGCAGCTTTCACATCACAGAGCAGGAGGCCGAGGAGCCAGCGCCAGGGCCAGCGTCTGGCTGCTCATGTCCATCACACCCGCCTCCGGGCGTCGGACTGTGAG